CAGTCAGAATTTGTTTGCATCGTAGAGATCATGGATTTTTCACACTAGGTATATAAACCATATTAGTTGTACCGTCACAACCCATTAATTTTTTTTTTTTTTTTTTTTATAATCCAAAGGTTCCCCACTTACGTGAATCATTCCTCTTGACCCGGTAGTTCCCCCCACCTGGCGTCGAACCCGTGAGCATGACAATTGGCTCACAAGGTCTTTACCAAACTGCTACCTCTTCCCGTCGCAACCCATTAATTTGAAGCTTTATTAGTAGTGTTCACATCTACGGGGCCCATGTCCTTAGTCGGATAAGATATTTTGACATATAATATACGAGCAATTCAATATGTATGTCGACACGTAACTATGAGAAGATTAGGTAGGGATTAGGGAAATGGTCGATTGGTCAAAGAAAAGTTACAAATAAATAAAAGGGAGCGAAAGACATTCAAATATGTAAAAAAAATATTTTATCCTGAATCGTTAATATTTTCTGACGTGTGTGTGATCGAATTTAACATTACCAAACTGTATATAAAGAGGGTGAATGTGACGTAAGAAACGATTTGCCTTAGCCTAAAAGAAATATTTGCTTTTCTCTGCATGTAAATGGGGGTTGGCTTTTCCATGCACTCTCTATTGTGCATTGTCATTTCCACATAGATTTTGTTCAATACTAGATATTTGAAGACTCTCATTTCTCTATGTAATACAATGGAGCAAAGAGTGTGTTATCCTAAAGCTTTTGTTATGATCAGTGAACCTCTTTGATTTGCATTTTATTAAAATGGAAGAAGCCTCATTGGTGGCTTTATTTGTCTTAGGGGAAAGACTGATGATCCTGTGGATCTTAAAAGTTTCTAAAATTCGCGCTTTGAGGTCAAGATTATGATATGGTCTTATATATTCATGTCATTATATTTTCTTTGGTCACGTTATGGTGCAAAAGAGAACTATGGATGAAATAAGGAAAACAGATGAGATCAGCTAAACATATTCAGTCTCTTGCTCTTGTTAACAATGGATAACAGAAGGGTCAAAGCTAGAAAAAAAAAAGAATTTGTACAATATTGTCTGACTTTTCTAGGCTCTCTCCTAATTAGAAATGAAACATTTCTTGTTTATAATTGTTGTAATTAACAACAAAGACGTTGTATTGTTAAATGGGTTGAAAACTTTATCAAAGGCATGTTTTTTTTTTAATTCGGAACTATTTGCATGAGAAAGCAGTATGGAAACAAAGTTGACACTGACAATGAAGAAAAATCTATCACTTACGTAAGGAAAGCTTGGACCCCTGTCTCTGTTGCTGCCTCTGTTTTTCTTGGTGGGTTTTTATAGTGTTATTCAGAGTTTCTTGTTTGAATGCATCTGTTTGATAAACAACTTGTGATTTCATAGTTATGAACCCTCCTATAGAGAATCTTCCTAGCTGCATTTAGGAGTGATGTTGATATTAGGTGGCAGTCGTTCCTCTGCTCTCTACCTTTTTTAGTGTTTATAAAAATGCTAAAAATCATATTATTTATCCCCTTTTTTTTCTTTGTCAGGAAGGAGATGATTCTATATGTTCTCTTCTGGTTTTGAACCACCCTCTTGTGGTCCGATAAGACATCAAGTGACTATGTCAACTGAAAAGGATGAGGAAAATCAGCTCGTTTATGTGTCTGTTTAGAAGATTATAATGCTACCTAAATTTCTTGTAGCGCTATTATGAATGTATATTTCTCCCGGATAATTTGATGTCCCATTTAGGCCATCTGGAGGGATCTTCATTCGATTTAGATGATGAATCTAACAAAAACGCAAAGACTGCTTCAAAGCTAGCTGATCACAGCGGAGGCAACCTACGAAAATGGCGAAACCAAAGAAGAAAATGTATGTTTGGCAAAACTCAGTATTTATACTTATGAAACCAATATACATCATAAGTTACAAAAAATGATGTTTAGTGGAATCTTTGTAGGTTATAGAGTATTGCAACTGAAGAATAATTAATTCAGTCAAAGTTAGTTTATGTTGGAATAAAGTCCTTCTAAATTTTTAGATTCATTATTTGTTTGTTTGTGGTTTGGTTGTTGGTTTATCATTTGTAAACCCAATTTTGTTTGGAGAAATTTTGAATTGAGATTGTAATGTTTGTATTTGTTGCATATTTGTATTGAGTTGCTGTTAGATTTGATCTATAATGTTTACTTCGGTGTTTTCTTTCAGCTATGGAGTACTATCTCTATGATAGAGTTATTATTTAGCTCATCGTATTGTTATGAATGTTACTTAAGTAAGAATGATCTGTCTGGACTTCCTAGGATCTGTAATAACCTCTTTGTGTGTTGTAATGATAGTTGAACGATCTTCAACGCAGAGTTCATATCATTATTATTTGACGCATCTGATAGCACTTCTTTGGTGTGAAACAAGCTAAACAAACAAAAAAATGCAACAAACAAAAGCAAACACAGATACACAAATGTTGCTTTGTTGTTTCTTATAAAACAAGAGAACAAAACTGGTGTTTATTAGGCAAATAATTTAACTTTGACGCCAATCTGGCAAATTTAGTACCTGATGAGAAAGGTGGAAGAAGACAAGCATCAGACGTTATATACTCATTTCATTATTATTTGATGCATTTGATATCACTTCTTTGGTGTGAATCAAGCTAAACAAACAAACAAAAATGCAACAAACAAAAGCACCCCACTATATTTTTCCATAAGAAGTTGTCGGTCACATTGTATTACAAACAATCAATCTCAAAATCAGGTTTACAAATGATAAACTAATCATCTAAAAGCAACAAAAAAATCCAATCATCTAAAAGCCCCCCAAAAAAAATCTAGTAGCAGTTACGGGCTGACGACGAGAACATTACACATTCAGCAAAATCAAAGAAGCAAAAATACAGTGAACCAACTCTTTCTATGATGGAAAGTATATGTCGTGTTCTCTAAGTTATTGTGTAGGTAAAATATCACATCACCATTGATGCCTCTCATAAGCATCAACTTGTCAAATCTTGAGATATTATACAAAATGAGCAGTATGACTATGCTAGTTGAGATTCATGCATGATGGGTTGACATGCTGTTATTCTTTTTTCTTATCATCCTAGGAATGAAAAAAACAGCTGCGCTAAAATTGTACATTATGCTCTTTAGATAAATGAATTTCAAACAAAATATCTTTTTATTTTGCGCTCTCCAATTTAAAAGACAAAACAAATCTTATTTTTATATATTTGTGGCATATAGAAAAAGAAAAACAATAAATCAATACTTATTAGAACTATGAAAAGAGGAACAACTCTATAATATATATATGTAATATGGAGGATAAGAAAAACCACTAATCACCTACTTTTTTACTCTTTCTCTCCATCATTTTCATCTAGGGGATGTGTATCGTTCCATTTGTTTCACTTTCTTTGATTTTTCACAAAAAAAAACAAATGCTTTCAGTAGACGAACCACCTATTTTTAGGATGATTTGTGGTTATGCACTGTTGTTTGGTGCATTCTGAAAAAATCTGGTTTCAGATGTCAAATGCATTGCGACAATATATTTGTATTTGAAAGGCGATAGCATTAAGTGGAACTGTGAAAATGTTCATGTTTCATATCATTTTAGATGTTAATTTAATGCCTGATTATATTGTGAATAAGTTCAAAGAAGAATGTTTTATTGGGCCTATGAAGATCAATGTTATTGTAGGATATATAGAATATCAAGGTTATTGTAGGATATAATCTGCAAAGCAATATTGAAATTCATTATGTCAGGAAAAAAACTAAAGTAAGTTTTTTTCTTTCTTTTTTGCTAAATAAAACAATAGTATGTTTTTGTGACTTTTGTTTCTTTTATTGTTCGTAAAACGTAAAAACAGATCTAATGAGATGAATTCTTTTTGTTTGAGCCAATGACCAAGCTGTAGATGGTGAAATAAGAAAAAATGTATAAAGATGTGGCTTGGAAAATGTCACACGCCTCAAAACACAATGGTTATTTTAGCAAACAATGGTCTCAAAGACATTTCCAATGAATTGTCACTGGCTGTGCATACTCTCTAGTGAGTATATGCAATATATAGAAGGCATATAATGGACGTTACGACACCTGCGAAGCGGTTTCCAGGCAGTGAAAGAGTTTCCAACAATGTAAGATGGCCTAAACCAGAAGGAAGATTGCCTTGGAGTGAATTTTATATTCATTTTTCTTCAATGACAAACTCACTGAATGATAAATTCCTCAAACCGAACCACTCTCAAGACAGAATTAGCAATTTGAAGTCGCTCACTAGCCTTGACCTTGACATTAGCTGCAACAAGTTCATTGGTCACATACCAGGGTCCATTACAAGACTGCAGAATCTCTGGTCTCTCCATTTCTCTGATCTTGTAGACAGGGGACTTCCTTCTTTAAAACTTAGGGAGCAAAACAAAGTCAGTGGACAAATCCCAAGTTCAATATCAAACCCTGTTGAACTTGTGAGACTAGACATCTCAAGGAATCACATTACAGGAGTCATAACCTCGAGCTTTAGGACTGCTCCACCTCTCTATCACTGCATTTTTCAGAGAGAATCCCAGATAGCTTGTTGAACATCAACACGATGAAACATGCGAGTGTCAGAGGCAATAGATTGTCTGAAGTTATTCCGCAACATGTTTCAAGCAGCTGCTATGCTAATCTGCAAAACATTTGCTTGTGTCGCAAGCCATTGCCTCATCTCAACGAAAGACTATGAAGTAAATGAATCTTTACTTATGTGGTTCTGTTTCCATCTGAATAAATAATAATCGATTTGATTCAACCAGCACTAACAGAACACATAATTGATTAAAGAGCTGATACTCTGAACTTGTCTAAAACAAAAAAAGGAATTTATCATTCAGCGTATGACAAAAACCTCACAACCATATTCAAAGAACTAACGAAGACAAGAGGTTTTAAATTTACAATGCACCATCAGTTGATCCATTTCATTGAGATTAGACTAACATAGACTAGTAGTCATCCAGAATCTCATCTTCCTCTTCTTTACCTTCAGCATCTTTCTTCTCATCTTCATTCTCCTCAACCTCATCATCAGCTTGCTTCTCAGCATCATCATCTTTTTTCTCCTCAGCATCATCAACATCATCAGCTTCCTTCTCCTCATCCACTTCCTGAAAGCGTAACCATATAATCTTAGGACTCAGAGAAAAAAGGAAAGACAAAATCATTGATAAATGAAACACATACCTCTTCATCAGCATCGTTGCTGTTCTCCAGAGACTTGTTATATTCAGCCTTTAGCTCAGCAGCTTTATCCAAATAAACTTTCTTCTCCTAAATAACCAAAGAACACAACTAGAGTAAGATCACAATGAAACTTGAGAAAGAAACAAAGAAAAGAGCAAACTCACTTCCTCATCCAGAGACTTCCACTTTTCACCACCCTGTTTAGCAACCTACACAACAATATAGACACCACAGAGTCTATTAAACCATATAAAACAATGGCTTACTACTCAAGTTACAAAAAATAGGTTACAGACACTTACATCCTTAACGCCAGCGTCAGGATTCTCTTCTTTGAAAGTTTTGCGGAAATCAGCCCTGCAAAGTAAGCCAACATCAGCATCCCTAACAAGAAGATTTAAGTGAAGATGGACATTACATGAAGATGAAGAAGG